TGCAGCGGCTCAGTTTCTCCCCTTTTGCAAAGGAGGGAGACTCAATGCCATACAAGTCATTGACTGGAGTCACCATCCCCAAGCCTGCCGAAAGACACAACATCGTCAGTAACTTGTGATACATCTGCAAGGATGTTTATATGGTTTGTCCCCACAACTTGAGCTACGGCTTAAAAAAGGTCTTTGTCAGAATTCTCAACACAACTGAAGGATATTTTCGGACTGTAATACCATATTAGGGCATTTAATGATAGAAGACTATCTTTTAAAAGAGCAAACCTGCCTTGGTGACTTCATAGCTGCTCTCTACAGTAACATTTTCCACAAATGTTCAGTTCTGAATGATGAACTTGTTTTTAAATTGGTCTTTTCAGCTTCAGTGTGCTCTGTGTGACCTCCTCACAAAGGCAAAGCAAAGCGATTACGCTAGCAAAGTTAGAATTGTAAGGTGTAGTTTGTTACCAAAATCAGCAACGAGGGCTGTTGAAGAGAAACACTGACAAAAAAAGAATGATGTCAATAATTTTATGCTGTTTAAGGGTTGTTCAGTGTCACAAAGGTCTGAGAATTCAGCCTCTGACAATAAAGATATTCAACCCGCATTTTTGCACACAGAGTCTACACAGTGGATAACAATCAGGTCTGAAGGAAGGCAGATGGAGATATTCACACACAGACAATGAAACACACTGCCACTTACTGACAGGAGAAGTCAAGGGACCGGCCCCTCCCACAGTGCTGGCCATGACCAGGTCAGCAATCTGTCTCAGAGCCAGGAGACCTGTAGGGTGGTTACCCTTTGTCAGCTGGTCCTGAATCAGGCCCTCCAACTCGTCTTTAAAGACCTATAGACCAAAAAAGAAAAGACACTTGTTCTTTTAGAGTAGGTTGAGCTAAGGTGAGGACTGAGGGGAGAGGAGAAGAATCACAAACACCATTATAAAGGTCCATTAACCTAGCAACCCATATATACACAGGCCTGACCCAGATCTCTTTCCAACACCTCCTCAGCATGTGTCAGGGAAAGCAGCATGCATTCAGACTGTCCTTATTACTACTGTGCACAAATCACGAAAGCTCAATAAAAACCTCTTTGTGTGTCTGTGAAAAGGGGTTTACTAAAAGCAGGGAGGAGCACATTAAACCCAATTTTTGCCTTCAAGAGCAGCCTGTGAATCTTCAAACTGCACTATTTTCCTGTGTGGCACAGCTAAGCTCCAGCATTCTGCTTCATCCGACCATGGTTCCCATGGTGATGAGATGAGTTCTACTTGTTGGGCCTGTTATGCAATCACAGATGAGTGTGGGCTCGTCTTATATCCATGCACTTCATTGGCATGTGTTTAGTGCACCACCTTGCACTTCACCGGACCAGACTGCACTGTCTGTCATCTTTAAGGTTTATAATATCTGATATAATAGACACTCAGTTACAAGTTTATTAGATTCACCTAGCTAAAACAAATGCAACAACAATCCTGCAACAATTCCTCCGTTCATTAAATTGATAATGTTCCATTTTTCACACTTCTCTGTAATGTTCATATTTGAGAAGCTGGATCACAATTACATCTTTTGTTACTAGGTTTTTGGATGTATTTCTTTAGCAGTAGCACATTTAAATGTAGCTGCAGTTTAGCACTGCTTTCCTAGTGTGTTTATAAATGAAGACAGTGGTAAGAAAGGCAGAAACTCACGATAAATACAGCATATACACCGATTTTCACATAAACAAGGAAATACAATGTAGGCTATTTCAGTCACTCTTGGGCAAAGGTATAGAGCATGTATCTCTGGCCTTAAAAACACTGTTTATTACTCATACAGAGGGAAAGCTTGTGTGTAGGAGTGCACTTATATAAAGCTGCAGGCTACATACCGGACTCTGCAGAATCTGGGTGACCCTCTTTTTCTGTTCCATCATGTTGAAGTCCTGTCTCAGGTCTGGTGACATGTTCCTGCTGCGGAGGTGGTCAGGGCCATTCTCGTCCACACGGTCAAAGTAGTGCTCCTTGGAGTTGTTGCTGGACAAGGACAGGGTCAGAGACGCTGCCATCTGCCTCACCTCCACCAAACTCATGTCTTCAATGCACAGCTTCCTACTCTCCCTCCAAAATCTGTAGGAGATGAAGAAATATCACAGCATACTTCACATTCAGGCTGTCAAGGCAACGGGTGTTATTTTAACAGGAAAGATAGGAGCACATCGGTACAGTGGTGACTCATGTAATTACAGGGATGGAGACAAAAGAAAAGCAAACAGTGTTATGTGACTGACAACTTTGTGCTGCAGATGTGCAAAAACGATGATTCAGTCATAGCTGCAGTAAACAAAATGCAGGCATTTATACATAAGTACAGCTTAATAACACAATGAATCATAGCTCTACCAAAGCACTCACAGACTCAACAACTTTCATTTTCACAAGTATTTTTCTATTACCCAGTGGTTTTGGCACAAAGGTTCAGTGTTTTTCTTCTCTTCACAGATGGAGGCAGCGAGTTTCCCCACTTTAACTGTCCAGCCAGCAGCTATAAAACATTGTCAACAGTAAACAAGGGTAGACCTTGTAAATTAACCCCTCTGAATAGAGCTTAGCACCTTGGTGCTGCAGTGTTACCTGGATGAGGGGGTTGGGGGATACAGGCGACACAGCCAGGACCACATTACATTGCAGAGGCCTGCAAATGTAACTACAACTAAAATGACTATTCTATTGGTATTCCATTACCAAGAGAAATGCATGCATGCCATCAAATTCCAACTTCAAACCGTTTATCTTGTGAAATACCACGATATATTCAAGCTACATATTTAGACTTGTACAAGCTCCATGCAAACAAAGCGAACAAATAAATCCACGAGGATAACTGTTACTGTAAGTTAGAAATTACCTGAAACAAAGTGCTCAGCTCGTCAATTTACTGCCTCTGGGTGATGTGATGACCAATATGTCGGAGAGAAGCTCCAGAAACGTGATAAAGCCAAACCAGACTTGTTATTCCCGATTCGGATACATTGTGGCGCGTGAGAAAGCTTGCAGGGCGCAAGTTGGTGCTGCTACAGTATCCAGGCGGAGCGGACTGCCCGCTGCGCGCACGTAGTGAGCTGAAGAGCGAAGAGTGGCTGCATGGAGGAGGATGTGGGTGTGCTTGTGTGGGAAAAAGGAAAAGTGGCCATGTGACTTCACTTATCCACAACCAGGCCTAGAGTATACACGGGGACAAAGAAATGCTCCCCTGAGGAACAGTTCAGCTTTTTACCGTACCGCTTTCCTATAATATTATTTCAGGGGCTTGTACGACCTTGTGCAGTCCCTAATATCCCTGAAGGATCTTGTTATAGAGTTGATACAGCACTTGGTGATGATTTCAAGTAGAGCTTGTGATTTATTTATCTTTTCTTGTTCTGTGTTTATATGTGTGACTCCTTATCTCTCACCACTTTATTTCACAAATAACTGAGACTCCTGTGACCCCACAGCAGCTCAGCAGAGGTTTTCATATGGCCCAGCCATGTCAAAACAGAGCACTTCAAAGCCTCAGCAAGTGCTTTCCTCAAAAAGTGAGTGCCTTCACCAGAAAAAGGTTCTCCAACATATAGGAGGTTTGCTCAGAGAAAGCAATGAAAAGCAGATGTTCTTTCAAAGAGGAAGGTTTAGCTATAGGCCTACAAACACAAAGTATTGTTTCATATGCTAAGCATATACAGTATATCAAGACATACAACAGGAAGTATTGTACTAAACTGAGCTCTGTCAAACGCACCAGCTAATGGAGCCTCATGCCGAGCTCTTACGAAAACACTTGCTGCTTTTCTTCAAGTAAATTGCTTTGATTCTTTTATTGTAAACGGGAAATAAG